TTTGGTATCTTCTCCATGGCTCATTATTTGAATAAATCACTTTTCCAAGCTAACACATATGATACCTTTGAGTCTTTTATTGTGTTGCTGTACATGTGTCTTACACTTTTTTTGTAAATATTACAAAGGTTCTAATTTAGATGCGGTTATTATAAATACCAGAAGGAATTTAACTATTGCTGTATACTACGTAAATATAACTCCCAATGTCAAAGGAATAGTATTTTAATTGTTCCTAACTTTTGTTGGATATTGGACAACATGCCATATTGAACAGCACCAAACTGCAGTGAAATCAGAGGGGGGGGCAATGTACTTTATTATAGCAGAACAGATAGTGGTGACTTCCATAACTACCCCAAAAGTCAGGGTTTTTTTTCCCCACAGTGCAGAACTATTAAAATTATAGACAACTTCCCTGGGTGAGAATATTTTATACTAGAATAACCTGAATTCTGACATGTATACTTTTATACATTTAACACTTCTTTCAAAATAAAACATAAAATCTCAGTCCGCATGAAGAGTAATTGAAGGATGCATTGGGGAAACAAGATTTCTACTTTCCTGCAATAGAACAATAAGGCAGAAGAAACTTCTTAAATTGAGAAATCATAAACTGAGAGTAAAGGATCCAATCTGGATGGAAACCTGATTCATGGCAAATCTGATGTTATAGCAAATCCAGCCGAGTGGCAAATAACACTGCCCTACACACACACACAAAACACATTGCTACTGTTTTCATTTACTGGTTTAGAAACATTTTCACATGAAGTTGAAGAAAGCCTTACCTTTTTATTGGTTCATGATCAATCAAGATACAGGAATTTCATTAATGAAATCCGTGCTGCAATATGGTGAAATAGCAATAGCACTTACACTTATATACTGCTTCACAGTCCTTTACAGCCCTCTCTAAGTGGTTTACAGAATCAGCACATTTACATATATTAATTTTTATATTGATAAATTTTTATATTGAGATGAGAATGCATTTTCCATGTAAGAAAAGAGTTTATGACAAGAAAGCATTTTGTCTTTGGATGTGTGTCACAACTGAACAAATGACAAATTACAGCACACTTAAATATGTGTGCCTTTAAATGTACGTTTAAGTACAGGAGTTTTGGTCCTATGCAATCAGAAAATAGATATAACCTATACCTTTTGAATATACAGTACAGATCCGGAAGAGTATTGCAACTAACATTAGTATTTAGGTTATATGGATTCCTTTCCCATTAATATAATGAATACTATTTAATATAAAATGCATACTTTTTATATTTCTATAGCACTTTTATCTTCAGAAGAACACTTAATTTTGTATGGATGGATGGTGTTCTATGTTCCTGGATGTAATTGGGGATTGTATCCTATTGTTTTTCAACTACTGCAGTGAAATGTGTTTACTTGCTTTGTAAATCTGTGTCAAAATAATTTCTGACAACTACATTTAAGTAGCATTTCCTGCAATTTAAATTGAGCATGCCTACATCTGTTTAACTAAAGATGGATTGCAGAACCCCATAATTCTAACATAGTTTCCTGACTCATGCTACAAGAAACAGTGAACAAAAACATCACTGAGATTTGATCACGTTCTAAGCATGTAATTATGAAATTCTAACGTTCCTTTGCAATCCACCAGCTAATTATCAAGCCATGTCTGCAATCCTTTGCACACATTCCTTGAAGAGTAAATCCCACTGTAAGTGGAATTACTTCCAAAACACATACTTCCACTTTCATGTGATTTCTTCCTATAAAATGCAGCTGACATTTTTGCCAACTCATTCCAAACCAAGAGATATCAATATATGTCTTGGCAGCACGCAAGTCAATCAACAGAGAAGTTGAAGAGATCAGCATGAACAGAGTAAAAGCATCTGATTAAAAATAGTAGCAGTAGTAAACTGATATCTACTGATTTTCGGTGGTGATTCAATGAAACCACCCGGGATTAAGATTCCATCCTTTAGTTGCAATTATTAGCAATTCGGAGGGCAAAAGTAGAATGTACTGCATTTTATTTATGTGCCTTGTTGTATATGCAAAATAGTACAAATCAATGCCCAAGTGTCCTGTAGAGTGATTAGATAGAAGAACTGGTATTAGTGCAAGAGATATTACATAGTAGTTCTGTACTCCACTCAGAAAAACTGTGGCTGGGATTATGTGTGTATGTTTTCCTAAAGTGCATGCTTCCTCATCCATAAGATCCTAATGGATATAAATGTCATTCAGGAACGTTTACTTCCTTCCACTTGAATCAATTATTTGATGGACATGTGTTAGTTTTTAAAATGTAATTACATGTCAACTTTAATATCTAATTCTCCAAATCGCAATAAACTGCCGAAGTTAAAAAGATAAGTATGAGCTACAGTTAGGATAGGTTTCCTTTAAATCTCCTGCGATAATCTAATTTTATTATCCTATGTTAGAATGACCTATTTGTTATTGCCACCGTCACAGCATGCAATTTTCAGTAGTTTATATAACGAGTTTTAAAACACTTTTAAAAAGTGGAAAATGAACATAATTTGGGGTCATTTCTTAAATGCTGTAGATTATTCCTGTGAAGTGTTAGTAACATCTATTCTTATCAACTGTATTGTCAACCTTGCTTGAGATCATCATTCAAAACTGGCTTTTCTGCCACTGTTCCAGATGCCTGCGCTCATTTTGCTCCTTCTCTGTACAACTTGAACTCCAGTTTTGCGTGCTGAACCACAAATACTTTAGAAGTATAACCCAAGGCTCTCCCCTTCACAGAGATGCACTTACTTCAATGTCACTGGGCTGGGGATGGTAAGCATTGAACTGAGCAGTCAGGCACACAAGAGGTAAATTTTAATCCATGACAGTACTAGGTCATATACAGTAGCCCTTCAGAAAGAGTCCTTCTAATTGAAGTTAATGAGAGTGGGAAAAGGTTTGAGGTTTCGATGAAACAAGGTCATTCCAAAGAGACACCTGCAATTTGGCTTATTTTTTTTAAAGTTGCACTTAATCAGTGAATCAATGGAAAGGAAGCAACTGAAATAAATCCATGCTCATTCTTAAAGCCCCTTGTTTCATTTAATTATGCTGCACTTATACAATCTCTAACCCATGGTTTTTCCAGACTTAACAGGAACAAACGAATTGGAACTGGTGTGCATTAAAAACCATGTAGAGAACCATCACAACAATGAATAAAAAAAAATTGAAATTAAATCCGACCTGACATTATTCTACACACTAGCTTGAATTTTCCCTTACCTGTCAAGTATAAATCAAGTAAAATTGATGTCTGAATATTGGGTTGTGGAAAAATCACCTCAAGTAAGAACTCATTAAGTGCTGTGTTTTAACTTTTACGCAACTCAAGATAGAAACTATCTCAGGACAAAAGTGTATCTATCTGTGTGAAAAAAATTTCTTTGGCAGTTAAAGTCAGACAGACTGTGAATGAACGAACAAGAATTTTGTTCTATTCTAAAAAAGGGGGCTTTATAAAAGTGTTGCTGGTTTGAGTTGTTAAATTTCAAGCTAAGCTACATTTCTTCAGTTTAGGGGGCTAGCTTCTTGATAACTTTACATGAATAAACCTTCTTTTTAACAGTTTTACATTGAACCTTAATCTGAATGTACAGTGTTTGATGTTCCTCACCAACAAAACTAGCTAGTGTTTCAATTAGCTTAATATCAAGCATTTTGAATAAAACATTCATCCTGCTGACATTTTACCACACTTATCAATATCTAATTTACTTCCAAGTATCCATTACCTCATAAATATTTATTTTAATAAAAAGAGGACCCCCAGGCCAACTTACTTTGACACTTGTCATCATCTGCAACAAATCCACTTTTTTTTTTTAAGAAAATCAGGCAGACCACGCTTCACACACAGTTGGATCACTCTTGACAAAGCACCCAATTAAATCCTACTTAATTCACCCACAAAATCGTCCACATTGGTATGTGGAAGACTATTGATCATATGATATATGTAACTTTTTCGGAATCTGGTTAGAAAGTAGATTTGGATCACCCTTCCCCAATTCTGATAGTAATAAATCCAGTTTTTGCCATAAAAATGCCTATCACGGATAAGCAAAGGAAAACAGATATACAGAGTCATGGGAATGGCAAAGAAAGAAAGAAGCAAATCACAGCATAAGCCACATTAATCTAGTTTAATGTTTATATGTAGAAGTTACACATAACAGACACTAAACAGGAATTTCAGATGTTAACAGAGCTGCAATAAAATTAATGCTGCTATATATTAAAAAAATAATTTCAATACAGTCATCTGGTTGTGGTTTTTTTTTTTGGTCTACACGAGTTCTTTGAAATTAATTTACACCAGTAATTAAGACTGAAATTTTTCCCTATTATCCCATCCTATTTTCCACATTTCTAGTCTTTGGATGAAAGAAACAGCAACTTTACATTTGTTGACAGTATATGCCCTTTGGTCAGAAGCAGAAAACTTTTCAAAAACCCTTTCTCCAAGTACAGTAATATGCCACAGGGCTTAAAATGATGGGGTAACATCACCCCACTTGGCATTACAAAAATGTTTGTGACAACAAAAGATTAAATAAATGCCTCAGCACTGTACCCAGACTGAAAAAATAAACCAAGCTGTCTTGGGTAAGAACCAAATTCTTACATCTTGATAACCTCTCCGTACACTGTCATATAAACCTCAGTGCCAAACAAACAAAATGTAAGTTTCAAAACGGTATGATACAAACACCTTTTAATTGGATTGAAGAAAAGCACATCTGTATGGATTCAGAACACATTTTATTTGTGGCTAGACAGCTCATGCATTCATGCAGGACCAAGCTACCTACACCTATAGCTTCAGAGTCTACAGGGATGGAGTGGGGGTGGGGGGGTGGGCAACATCCAATATATTGTCTTTGTCAGCAGTTCTGCACTTGAGCCAGAAATGTTCCCACATATTTAAAAAGAAAACATACACATCTTGATAATATTTACAAAAAATATTTAATTAAAAATATTTCATAATTACAGTCGGTCTATTAAAGCATAAACTTTTCTCACACTTATAGAAGCTCTCTCTATATACATAGTATGAAATGTCACTCATTTTAATCTATACAATATGTAACAATCCTGCAGGGAGAAGAAAATCCCCAAGGAAACAATAAAATCATCTATTTTAAACAATAGATGCCCGAAACAAAAGTTATCTACAATGCCTCTGGTAGATTAGTAAAGCTTCAGATTTTAACTGCTCAACGCATTAAAGTTATATTTTCTAAACTCCAGTTTTGCCCTTGATCTTCAATCCAACAGAAAACCACACAATACTGAAGATTTAAATCCCCTCCCTCCTAGACATGTACACAATTCACATCTGATCTAAAAAAAAAAAAAAGTTAAGAGTCATGTGAAAAATGCTATGAAGTACAAAGTTTTGAAAAAAAAAATTCTTTCTCTCACTCTAAAGGAAGTATGGAAAGAATTCTGGAGTAGTTGAGGTTTTTTTTTTTTCCTTTAGCCTAGTGGCTGGTGGTTGTTTTTTTTTTCATCTCTCTGTTTTTCCCCTCCCTCCTCTAATGTGTCTTTCTGCTTCTGTGGCTCAGGATCTGCTTGCTGCACACCTGTGGAAGAGGAATGAATAGAGGAGGGGGTGTGAACCATTCTGCTCCAGACTGACTGGCGCCACCAACAAAACAGAAGACATGCTTGATCAACAACCCAAAACAAACCAGGTCAAACAACAAGGGCAGCTCCCAGGCTAGGCCAAGCAGAGGAATACAGCTGCAAGTCCCAGCGAGAAGAAGCTTGCCGGGGAGTAGAAGAGAGGAAAAGAGTTAGGGAAAAGTGCCCTCCAAGTCACTCCTCCGTTTCTGTTTGCACAGATGAAGCACATAGGCAACAGAAAGCCCTGATGCATGTTTACTTGGAAATTAAATTGTATGGAGTTAAATAGGATTTGCATCCAAGTAAAGTGGGGAGGGGGGGAATTCAGCCTACATGCCAAAGCAACATACATGCAAGACATTCAGCAGCAACCAATCAAGGAGAATATTTGTAGCTCGGGGTTGAAATGAGAGGTCTTTGGTGCTCTCTGAACTTGGTGGTTTTCTTGCAGATGTTTTGTTACCTAGTTTGGGTAAATCCGCCAAGCTCAAGAGAACATCAAGGACCCCTCATTCAACAGCATTTCCATAATGTATTATTCATGGCTTTTACAGAAAAGAAAAGAAGGGAATTCCTAAAGATTGTTGAAAAGGGCACCTTGCTGGTCCTTTGCATCAGTCAAAAGACCTTGCAGTTAGACCAAATGCAGCTTTCTTTTTCTAAGCATGCAGAAAGCAGTTTATTTTTCTTAAGTTTTTGTCCATCGTACATGCTTAGAACATACCAAACGTCTGGACTAATTAACACACATTACCTGTTTAATAATACACAGCCCTTTAGAATAAAAGTATGCTATTTAGAACAAATGTAATCTGACCCTACCTATCCTAAAATATGTGTCTAGAATTAAAAAGAAAATATAAGGGAAGCAAGCTTGTTCCCTGCTTTGAGCCTCAAAACTATAATAACTTTTAACTCAACTGAAGGATTGTGTTATTAAAGGAAGATTATGTTGTTAAAAACGTAAGTGCCCAAGTTGAACTAGTTGGTGGACTGCAATCTCATGCCCTAGTTTGAAACAGGTATTTTATTGCACTGCTGCTTTTAGGTTCTTACAAACGTGCCATTCCGCTAAGTGAGAAGAACTGAAACTGAATCCTTCTTATATTTTGCACACAGGCACGTCCCACAGATTTCAGGGAGTCTTACTTCCAGGTGAGTGTGCCTAAGGTTGCTGCCTTAGATTAAACTACAAAGTCACTACTAGGAATGACAAATGCTCTCCGCTCTTCCACTCTGCCAATCTTGAAAGACATACTCACCTTGGAAGTGCAGTTCAGCGGCACAAAATACTATCTCCTTGCTTATTAACAGCACCCGCCTGCAGAAGAACAAAACAAGAGTTGAACATTACAGCAAATGCAAATACCAAGTTTAATAATAAACAGCCCTCTTTCCCTGGCGGGCTGGTTGCAAGACAATTTGAAACAGAGGCAGAGGGAGCTGCAAGAATTTTGTCAGCTTCAGATGGCTGTAGATCCCCACCCAGGCCAGCAGTTAGTGTCAGACTGAAAGCTGCCAAGGGTGACGACCCTTCGCTTGATAGACCCCTACAGGAACGGCTAACTGCAGCTGAGGGCTTATGTGGTTGTTTTTTTTTCCAGTGCAACACAACCAAGCAAAAGAACCCCCTGGCGTAACTCAGATTTGTGAGACTGGAATCTAAATCTCTGGCACATGACTTCTTTTTTCTGGAAGCATATTTTTGATGTCTGGGAATAATGGATTGTGAAGGTGGTGTTTCAAAACTATGCCCTCTTTGGTCCTTTACTAAACAAGTGTTTATTTAGAGCATGCTCCTTTATTCTTTCCAATAGTTCTTCTACTTCTAAGCACATTTGACTCCAATCCTGCAAATCACTAGCACAGGCTGATGGCACAAATACAATATTCTCAATTTGCTTCCAATGCTATATGTCTAGTCAATTCTAAAGGGCAGGTGCTAATATGCACTGTATTACAACTAAGTAAAGGAAAAGAGTATTTGTGTAGTTAGATCAGGACAACTCTTAAGAGAAGCAACACCCATTAGAATCAAGCAGGAAGTTACCTCTATATAACTTAAATATTTGATTCCCTACCTAATAAATGAATCATGCTCTACACACACATGCAAAAGCTATCTTATTAAATGTTACCTATAGTTCCTGAATGACAATGGCTGGCAACACATAGCCTGGGAACGCATACAATTCAATAAGCACGAGCAATTGCATCTTATATGTTATTAAGAGCTGGCAGGTATATACCTCTACTCACACCCCCACAGAGACCTCCGCCATCCAATCTGCTATGCAATTTAAAGGCAATACCAATATACCGGGCTTGCAATTCACAGCCTAATTAACCAGTATTTTCTCTCCGAAGACTTTCCGCCCCGCAGAGATTAAAAGGACCGGCATTCAACAAAACAGAGATGGCTACCATCCCACTGGCAAATCTGGCGGGGTGAGATCATTAAGATTGGGAATCGGGACCGGGAGACCCAGGTTCAAAAACCATGGGAAGGAGTGACCTCCTTGGGCTCCCGGGAGACAGGCGAGATGTAATTAATTCCAAAGATTTATATAAAAAAGGTAAGCAAACGCCAAAAAAAAAAAAAAAAAAAGAGGTGTCATGGGGTAAGGAGCCAGATTAGGATCATTCCTCTTTCACGGGCTTGTGGATCGCGCGGGGAATCGTCCTTAGGATGAGGCTAAGATCTTTGGCAGGTTAGAGCTGCTTTTTGCCCCAGTGCGCGTAGGGCTGGAGGGTAACTAAGACGCGGGGCTGACCCCGCTCCTTCTCGGGGGGCGTCCTCGAGAGAAGCGCCACCGTCCCACCTCCGTTCTCCGAAGCCGCCTCTCTTCCCCTCCCCTCCCCTCCTCTTCCTGCTACGCTCAGCGGCGCGGCGACTCTTACCGGGTCGGTGTTGAGCGCTGTGAGCGGGGTCCGGGGAGGCCCTCCTGGGTAACTTGCCGGGTGCAACGGGGGCGGCGGCGGCGGCGGCGGCCGGAGCAAAGCCGGGTGCGTCTCCAAGGCCAGCTGCAGATCCAGGATGTAGTCGATCACATGCTGCAGGATCTCCACTTTGCTGACCCGCTTGTTGGGCGGAATGGTGGGCACCAGCTTCCTAAGGCGGCTGTAACAGTCATTCATGTCGCACTGAAGACACAGAGTGGCGGGCTCCTCGCCCAGCGAGGGGCTCCCCTTGTAGCAGCAGCCGTGCTCGGCCAGGCAACGCACAGCCAGATCGCCGCCGCCGCCTCCGTCGCCGCTGCTGCCGCCGCCGCCGCCGCCGCCGCCTCCACAACAGCAGCCGCTAGTCAGAGCTTTCCTGCTGGGGTGTCGGACGGGACTCACCGCTTTCATGGTGCAAAGAAAGACGCAAGCAGGCAACAAGAGCCGCTCGGCGCCGGAGCCAAACAGCTCCCGCCCGCAGGATGACAAGACAAGAGGCGATGCAGCGCTTTCTTTTTGCTGGGCAAATCGAAGGGATGAACGAGCCTGGCTCGGACCGCTGGAAATCTTCGGATTTTGCAAAAAAGGAAGGGAGGAAGAAAAAAAAAAGAAAAAAAGGAGAGCAGAAAATTACAAATCGTGGAGGTGGGGTGGAAATTAAAATAATAATAATAATAATCCAGCCGCCACCTACCCAATCAATCTGTTTGTCTGTCTGACCAATTCCCTTCCCAGCTCTCACTTCGAGCCCAACCACCTCTGCTCTGCCCAGTTTGCTATGCCGCCTTATCTATATATAGAGCACGGGGTACAGGTTGGGCGGGGCGCGCACGCTGCCCGAGTCCAAAGGGAGGGAGAGGGAGAATAAGCGAGTGGGTGAGACACAAGACTATGGGAGGGATAATGTGGACATTAAAAAAAAAACAAAAAAAAACCGAGGCACGAGAAAACAGCGTTGCGCTTTAGCCAATCGGAAGCGGCGGTTTTCTCCACGGGCCGTCGCGTTAGCCAATGACAACTGTCTCCATTCTGTCAAACGCTCTCTATAGGGCCTCGGGAAAGGGGAGGCTGTCGAGCCCGAGGGAGGAGAGAGGGACGGAGGGAGGGAGGGAAAAAAAGAAGTTCCTTGCGAGGAACTGCGGGAATGCGAATGGAATTCAAGCCGGGCTTGCCGATGGCTTGCCTTGGCTCTTGGGATCCCCGGCGGCTCGGGGTGCTCTTGCAGTAGCCCGCGCCTCCTTCTCAGATCTGGCTCTCAATCCGAAAAGAAGCTATGACCGGTGTGATCACTTCTCTCTTCCCCTCTTTTTTTTTCTCTCTCTCTTTTTGTTCTCAACATTTATTCTTCAGACTGTCTAATTATCACTTCCAGCTAGTTCCCCAAGGAGACGTGCGGTTTCAGGCTTCATTTCACGGTTTTGTTTTGTTTTTTAATGCTTTTGAGCCCCCTCCGCGGGTATATTATTGACACTCAGAATATTTTCCTTCAAAACAATCACTTCTAAAGTCCAGAAAGTTGGTGAGAATTTGCGTGAGTTTTTTTGTTGTTGTTATGGTTAAAAGAATTAACTGCCTTGCTACATTGAATTAAAGCACATCAAGATTAAAAATTCATGACGATGCGGGGTGTTTAAAATCCCTTAGTGCCATATAATGTTAATCCATTTGATGTAAAATTCATACCTGTAACTTAATTTGCCTCATTAGTTTCCAGATCACATATTTGTTCAATGTGCCATATTAAATGTGATGCTGGAAATGCCTGAATTTCTGTGATTTGAATCACTGTCTTAAAATGATTATAGGAATATTGTAGTGGACTGCTATCTCTTAATTTAATGATGTTTGCTACAACTTTCTCTGAAGTCACCTTGCAAGATTCTAGATGCAAACTATTAAACTGTTGACTAATGAGCAAAAACGTCACTGTAATAAATAAAAGGTTACTTCCCCTTTTTTAGCCATGTGAGAATGTTATACTCATGGAATCATATAATTCTGCAAGATTAATGAAATACATAAATAAATGCCTTAGAGCTTAGGGGACTGGAGGCTAAAACATATAAGGAACGGTTGCTAGAATTGGGTATGTCTAGTTTAATGAAGAGAAGGACGAGGGGGACATGATAGCAGTGTTCCAATATCTCAGGGGTTGCCACAAAGAAGAGGGAGTCAAGCTATTCTCCAAAGCACCTGAAGGCAGGACAAAGAGCAATGGTTGGAAACTAATCAAGGAGAGAAACAGCCTAAAACTAAGGAGAAATTTCCTGACAGTTAGAACAATTAATCAGTGGAACAACCTGCCTCCAGAAGTTGTGAATGCTCCAACACTGGAAGTTTTTAAGAAGAGACCGGACAACCATTTGTCTGAAATGGTGCAAGGCAGACATGTCAAACTCGCGACGTCACGTGATGTCGCGTGGCGTATTAGGACTGTTTTGCCATTGCCGGCAATGGGGTGGGCGCGGCTTCTGCGAGACGCGTGACGGCAGTTTGACACCCCTGGTATAGGGTTTCCTGCCTGAGCAGGGGGTTGGACTAGAAGACATCCAAGGTCCCTTCCAACTTTTTTTTTTTTATTATTATTATTATTATTATTATTATTATTATTATTATTATTATTATTATTATTATTATTATTATTATTTAGACTACTGATGTTGAACTCAGAAACAGATTAGAAAAATTTGTATTCAGAAACTGAATTTGAAATGCTTTGAGTGTACATGTTTGTTGATTAGCCATACTATTTTAATATTGAATTAAAAATAAAATACCCAACTTCCAATATTCAATTTATATTGTAAAATCAAGCATACTTTCATTAGCAACTGTATAGGATATATTTCCTAGTGGAAATTCTGGTATAGAAATCTATACTATTACTTCTTGAAGACATTTCAAACTTATAAGTTGCTATTTATCTGTTGCATCTTGTTTTTGTTCATTCTCCCTAATTTAAATATAAGTGTAAGGCATTGTTCAAAACACATTACTACAAAGATGATATTGTAGATGCAGGAAGCAAGCAAAGATGTGGGAAAAAGTTTAATTCATTCTTAATTCATTCTCTTCAATTTTGTGTAATTCCTCAGTGGGTTTTAGGTGTGTTGGGCTTTAAAATGAAGCAAGCATTTCAAGATGCCAAATTGTGTTCTAATTTTCAGAGTTTATGCTTGCATTAACAGTCTGGTTCACATATGTTAATTATAATGTTAGGTTTTGGCTTAATGTGCAGACCCAGGCAATTAGGGACTCATCAAACCATGATTAAACAAACGATGCCACAGTATAATATGTAAAATAGGTCTGCTGACATGGGTACATCTACAATTAAAATACTTACAGGCAATCCTTTTTTAGCAACTGCCTCATTTAACAACTTTCGCAGTAACGACGGGTGATGAAGAATAATTTTGCATCCAGTGCCCACATTTATGACCTTCACAGGTCTGTAAAGCAAAGGAAAGCTGAAGTAAGATCATAAGCACAGTTGCTGTTTCACTTAGTGAGCGCTTCACTTAAACAACCCAGTTGCCAGTTCCAACTGTGGTAGCTAAACGAGAACTACCTATATACCATTTCTTCTATTTCCAATAGCCATAATGGAACATGTATGTTTATGTAGCATCTTGGTCTAAAGAGGAGCTTTTTCAGTGTATACATGTATGGAGGTCCTTATCCATTGACTAAGCATGCTTATCATACATAAATGTTGACTAGGTGTGTGGGGGGGGGGCTTGTCAGAAGTACACTGCAATAGAATCTCATGAAGGAAGCACTGAAGAGGAGAATACATTTCATACTGCACAGTTAACCAGTGACAAGCAAAGATGTAGCATGTCAGTATTCACACTATGTTTTATCTGTGATCCCATTCTCCTGTTTTCAGAGCAATCTATATACAGTAGCGTTGTGAAAGTCACCCTTCTTCTCTTTTCCGAATTTAAACTGATAGTTGTTTCAGCCTTGTCCTTTAAATCATTTTTATTCAAGGAGACAATCTTTCAACGTTAAATAAATATATAGGTATTATAGACAAAAAATAAAAGCCTATCTAGCGTGGTTGTTAATGTGTTGGACCCACGTGATAAAAAATATCTGGGATTTACGTCCCTATGTACCTAAAGTAATTGCTGGGCCAGGGTGTGTCTATTTTTCAAGTACAGCTTACCTTTCCATGTGTCTTGCTAGACTAAAATGCTCTGTTGTGTTTCCCGGAGGAAGGGTAGGATAAATACAGGCAATGTTTATGTTTAGCACCGTGTAAATAAATATCAAGCAATCTGCGCAGACGATAACTAACACGTTTACCAGATGCATTGGCACCAACCGTTCTGCTTTGGCGAGCCTATAAGCAAAATGTATAATTTTTAATTTTCTGAGTAAGTTGAAGAGACTCAAATAATTTAAAAAATTCGTCCTATAAGTACAAATAGAAGAGGATAGGAGAGCTTAGGATTGAATTGGGAGTCCTTGGTGCTCCCTGAGTTTGCCTGTTTCCTTGCAGACGTTTCATCACCCAAATAGATAACAACATCAGTGGTAGTGAGAGTGGATTTTGGTCCTTGTTTATATACAGTAGTTGCCCTGCCAGTTTTGGGGTGTGGTTTTCAACTTGGTAGTTTATTGATTAGGATATTGTTTTCTGCTTGATTCTTTGTCTGGTCTCAATCCTGTTTATCTGGCTGCTGGAAAGGATGTGTTTGATCTTTTTGTTTCCTTCTCGGTTTTTCTATTGTCTCTTTTGAATGGCTTGTGAATATGCTTTATCTCTATTTGTCTACTGGTGGCAGATTGGTCTGAATGCCAAGCTTCCAGAATTCCCTAATGGGTTTTTTTTTGGATTTGGCTTGGTCTAGGACAAGGGTAGGCAACCTGGGCTCTTTTATGACTCGTGGACTTCAACTCCCAGAATTCCTGAGCCAGCCATGCTGAGGGGAAAGGGAGAGGTTTCCAAGCTGAGCCATGCTGGCTCAGGAATTCTGGGAGTTGAAGTCCACGAGTCCTAAAAGAGCCAAGGTTGCCTACCCCTGGTCTAGGAGGCTAACAATTTCTCATACTGTTCCCACATTTTCACGTGGCCGAGTCTGTCCAGGTGTTGTGAGATAGGTTAAGGTGTTTTCGCTGTGTCTTCTGACTGCTTGTTGGTGTTCATGGATGCACTCTGCCGGTAGTGGCTGTTACAATCCTTATGCTGTGTCTTGTTTCTGTACAGTGCTGCATCACAAATACAGGTAGTTCTCAACTTATGACCACAATTGAGCCCAAAAATTATGTTGCTAAGTGAGACATTTGTTGTCAATTTTGCCCCATTTTACGACCTTTCTTGCCTCAGTTGTTAAGTGAATCCCTGCAGTTGATAAGTTAGTAATATGGCTGTTAAGTGAATCTGGCTTCCCCATTGATTTTGCTGGTTGGAAGATCGCAAAAGGGGATCACGTGACTTTGGGTCATAAGTATGAGTCAGTTGCCAAGCGTCCAGATTTTGATCACGTGACCATGGGGATGCTGCAGCGGTTTGTAAGTGTGACATGGGGGGACATGATAGCAGTGTTCCAATATCTCAAGGGGTGCCACAAAGAAGAGGGAGTCAAGTTATTTTCCAAGGCACCTGAAGGCAGGACAAGAAGCAATGGATGGAAACTAATCAAGAAGAGAAGCAACCTAGAACTGACAGAACAATTAACCAGTGGAACAACCTGCCTCCAGAAGTGGGGAATGCTCCAACACTGGAAGTTTTTATGAAGAGACTGGACAGCCA